TGGGGCTGACTAATAACAACAACAATAAAAAAAAACATTTTCAAACCCCCATTTCATTTTAGAAATTTCCAGTACAAATAAACCAGGATTGACAGCAAATAGTTGTGATTTGAGAATTTTCTAGAAATAAAACTTACTCGATCTTCTCTGATGGTGGAATAGTAAACATCTTCAGGATTACCCTGCAAAATAAAGATTTACTATTGTAAGATGTGCTGTTACTGTAAAGACATTATTTTTATTTCTTTTTAAAAATTTAGCTGCTTATTGTTAGGAATCCAGTTTGTGTGGGTTGTGCTTTTGTTTGCCTTCCCTCCACCACCAGGTGGCGCCTGGTTCTCGTTGGCCCTCTCATACACCTGCGGATGGTTACCTCATTACCGGAGGACTCTTAAGCTGCTGACTGCCACTACCTTGACACCAGAGTGTTTGCCAGTTTTGGGTACTCTAGGCAAGCTGAGTTTTGCTGAGTCATACTGAGTTTTTTTTAATCTGAGTTTTAACCTTGCTGTTTTTGTCTTTGCCTCTTGGCAGGAAGTCATCCTGTAAACTGGATGTTTTGGACCTTCTCCCCCCTGGAAGGATTCTCTGAGCATCAAACTGAGCTGCGGATTCAAGCTAGTGGTTTGGATCAACTTTTCCCCAAGGATTGTTTGGGCTTCTCTCTGAGCAGGGGATTCATCTCCACAAGAAACTGTTCAAGTACCATGGGAAAACTAAGTGGCAGTCAGCTCCTCCATTTCTCAAGGAAACACCGCAACCTGGGTAAACCCTGTCCGCCCTCCAATGAGCAAGTCAATTGCTGGAACAACCCACATTGACTAGATTCAACAAGAGACACCTTTTTCTGGAAACGTGAGTCCTGTTGCCTTAATTCCCTTCTTCAAATCGAAGAGACAAATTTCCTACTGAGCCTGAACTAACCGCAGAATCTTCCCCTTCACTTTTCAGTCCCGGTTCGACAGTGTTCAGAGCAGCACTGGACTCCTCTCCACCTACTCTCAATAAAACCTGTTAAACTTTTCCCAGATCTCTCTGTTTGGTCTTTTGCATGTGGGTCAGATCTTTAGATAAAATCATGACACTTATATCAAAATTGGTAAAATCCAGTTATGTTTTTGTGTATTAAAGCCTTTATATTGATTTCTTATAATGTTTCAGGGTTTCATGAAAAGCTGCATGTATTTAGCGTGTTGGTTCTTACAGTTTCGAGGCTTGGTTCCACATCATTGGGAGAAACCGGAGACTTTAAATTATTACCCTGAAGAAAGGAAAGATGACCAATAATGAACGATCATTTCAATGCTGTCAAAGAGAAAATGTTTTGGCTAAAGTAATGATTACACTCACAGCAGAGTTCTGCATCTGCCTTTTGTTTCCTGTATAACAAAACAAAAGGTGATTTTTTAACCACCACAATGAAACCATTTGGTAATATTTGAAGATTTGGGTTCTCACTTTTCATTCTCCATGTGATAACTGAGCCAACGACTATGAAGAGGATGACTAAAACCACAGCTGCTGCAATGTATGGAGCCCCTAATGACAAACCATCAAAAATATATATATATATGGTTAAAGCAGCTTTGATGACATTATCCTGTTTCTCTTTATGTGTAAAAAATATAATTGAAACAACTCAACCAACTCAAGCAACCAACAGAGGGTCTATAAATAGCATCAAACATTTGTTCCTCTGATTGCAAAACTGAATTTTTTATTTAAATTGAGTTAATGAGAGACCCATTAAATACTTCACTACACAAGTTTGTGTCACCTTAAGTTAACACAATTGTGCAATTATGTGTCCCAATGTGGTATGAAAATATTTGAGGAATTACAAATGAATGCAAGCAGGAAAAATACTGGATGAATATCACTGATCCTGCTTGTCAACAGGTTTTATGTGACAGTCAACAATGAACATTTGAGAAATTTTGAAAAGTTTCTTAGCGGATGAAAATACAAAAACTGCAATCTGTTTGAATAAAAGCATGTAAATAGATATCAGGGTTTAGTGGACAAAAAAAGACCTGCAACCATGAAAAAATATCACAGTATCTTTACCATTAGATGATGATTCTGTTGTGGTTGGACCTGGTTTTGTTGTTTTTCCTTTTTCTCTGGTTGGGCTTTGTGTGGTCACAACTTTTGTTTCAACTTAAGGGTTGAGATGAGAGAAAAGGGTTGAGTGGATAGAAAAGACCTGCAACAATGAAAGAACATCACAGCATCTTTACCTCCATTAGATGATGACTCTGTTGGTGTTGGACCTGGTTCTGTTCTTTGTTCTATTTCTATGGTTGGGCTGTGTGTGGTCTCAGCTTTTGTTTCAACTTAAGGGTTGAGATGAGAGAAAATGGTTTAGTGGAAAGAAAAGACCTGCAATAATGAAACAGCATCACAGCATCTTTACCTCCAATAGATGATGAGTCTGTTGTGGTTGGAACTGGTTCTGTGCTTCCTTCTACTTCTCTGGTTGGGCTGCATGTGGCTTCAGCTTTTGTTTCAACTTCAGACAAAGATACTGACAAAACCAAAGAGTTAATATGTTCATGTTTTCCCATTTGCAGTAAAGATAGTTAAATGTACAACTTAAACTGGAATCTCTGTGAGATCAGAGGTTCCAAGTTTTAGTAACTGAAGTAACAAGTTTTCTCACCTGATTTAATTTGACGGGATGGATCGTTAAAGTTGAAGAGCTGACTGGTTCCACCATGTGTGACTTCACAGCTGAACTCACACCTCTGCATGTAGGACTGCTTAATAAAACAAACTGCAGCAGAGCAGTCAGGCTGTTTTGACTCACAGTGTTTCACATCTTTAGCTCCAGCAGTACAGTTATGCTGCCACTTCACTTTGTAATCACACCGTCCATATGTCTTCACAGAACAAGTTAATGTCACCTTATCTCTGTCCCTTTGTTTAGTTACTGATGAAGAAACAGTAGGAGACACATTTTACACAAAACATACAGAATAACAGACTGTACTCATTATGGCTATATTTAAGTTCATATGTTTGTAAATAAAGTTTTTTTTTTCAGTTAAAGTAGGTGCCACAGCATTAATAAAACAGTGAGACAGATAATGGCTTAATATTAATACTCACTGTGGACAACAGACAGATCAACTCCAGACTGATGAACCAGGATGTGAGGATGGGATTTGTTTCCAGATTTGTATTGTTGGCAATGATAATGACCAGCATCCTCCACTCTGACATTCCTTATTACCAGAGAACAGCTTTCTAAACTCAGTTTGTTTGACTTACTTTGCAGATTTGGGTCAATCTTTCCGAGTGTGACCAGCTCTACTGAGGAGCTCCTTGAACTAAAGACCCATGTGGTGCCATTGCAGTTTGTTTGACCACTAATCAAACATTGGCAGGACAAAACCACAGTATCTCCAGATCTTATCAAAGCAGCTGTTCCATCTGTAAACAATGTTAACAGAAATTAACAGAGGTGTGTTACTTTTTGAATAAAAGCTTTTAATTGAGTTTATTGACATTTTCAGGTTTAATTACAGGAAATACTTGATTTGTGTTAAAATCGTAAATTACGTCTTTGTTTGCTGAATTTAGTAGAATAAATGCCATTCAAATTTCAGTGTTCTTACCTTCCAACTGAAGCTTCAGGATTAGAAATAAATAAAGTTTAATCCATTTGAGTTCAGCCATTGTTCCTATCAGCTACTGTCGCTCTCGTTCTGATGCACTAAACTGTCAGATACAGGCTGCCTTTGAAGGTCATTTCTATTTCCTGTATAAGAGGCGTTACTTCCTCAAAAACTTTTTAAACAAACTTTCTTCTTTTTTATGCTAACATTATATTGTGTTAAATTTAGACCTCTTTGAGACTACAAAAGACTACCAAACAGGTTTAAATAAATTACATTAAAGCCCTTTCGTGAATATTTTTTAACCACAAAGCACATTTTTGACAAAGGCATTTATGAGAGCCGGAGAGAAGAAGTGAACCAAATGCATTAAGATTTAAAAGAAAAAACAACGCAGATCTTGAGGACTAAGGTTGGGACCCCTGAAGAAATATAAACTGTTAAAAAAAAGGCCAGAGGTTTTAAAGTAATGTGTTTCAGGTTTTGACTCAGGCTTTCATGAGAACTGAAGGAGGAAGTACTTCGGTGAGAATGTGGGTAGCAGCAGAGCTCTTTTGGTTTTCATTGCTGCAAACACAGCTCTTAAAATGAGGGCTCAATCTTTCACTTCACTTTACATAGGTTTAGGCTATTTTTATATTCCACACATTCAGAACAGGTGGTTGTTTTTTTTTCTGCAGTCAGTTGAGTGTTTAAAAAGCATTCCTTTTATCTCTTTAAACACATTTCATTATTTGGTTACCGAGGTGCAGATACACAGCAATAGATCAGCCCACAGTTTTTTTACTGTCAGTGGAAAAAAAAGAAGAAACAAGCATAATAAGTCTCAAGTTTTCAAGTATTAGCAGTTCCTCTTTTTATGGCGCAACTAGCCACAACTTATAGACAGAAAATGTGGTGGAGAGAAGGGGGAACATGAGGAGGGGGGCTGTTGCTTCATGAACGCGATTCATGACGCAGGTGAGGCCTGCATACATTGGCTGCATGTTCTATTGTTGCACCATTAGTTATTTTAAAGTATCTTTGGTATCATTTATTACAATATCACATTTTTTACACATTTGAATATATTAGTTTTACATAACGGAAGTAAGTTTACAATGTTTAATAGCAGAGAAGGTATTAACACTGAAGTTTAAATAATCCTCGCCTTTTTGCATACCCAAATTGAAAAGCAAATATCTAAGGAACTGTTCACCCAAATAACGTGTGATACATCATTTGAAAGCAAACACCTTCTAGTTTCCAACATCAAAACAGTGTGACTAAAACACGGCCTAAACTGCATCAGTTCAAACATGACTCAAATTAGGTTTTTTTTCCTTCTCGAAAATAAAAGACATTTTTTGAATAGCAGTAACAAAGAGATGCTTGAGAATAGGCATGTGTAATTGTTTTAAAAATTATTGTTTTTAAAATTTCCAACCTCTAGGTGTAACAGTTCTAGAGATTCTAGAGATCTAGAGGGACTTTTAACTTCTGGAGTCACCAGCGTCTCCAAACCTCTCCAAAACATGCCAAAATAGTCCTCTCCAAAATATTCCAAATCATGCTTATTATTTAAAAAAAAATTGTATCCCAAAAAATCACACTGGAGCATTTTGATGGCCACACTTTATACATACATCAACTAGTGATGCAACCTGGACACATCATCAGTGATATTACCTGGTATCATAGAGTGTTTTGGGTCTTTCAAACATCATACACTCTCCTCCAGGCGACCCAGCCGGGGTTGATCAGACCCCAGCTTGTGTCCAGGTAGCGCTACCCTACCCACAGATCTCCTCTCCTGATCCACAGCCACCGCGAGGCAACCTCTGCTGCCTCTATGGCCTCCTTGATGGCCCTTCGCTTGCTGGCCCCTGTGATGCCCAGCATGCTGTGCACCCTGCAGAGGGACTGGCCAGCAAACCCTCTGCATCCCACCTCAATGGGCTCGCACCTTTCTCGCCACCCATTGAGCCGACACTGCTCCACCAGATCGCTTTACTTAGCCCTCTTTCTCTCGTTGGCCTCCTCGATGCGGTCTTCCCAAGGGACCGTGAGCTCCAGAAGCACAACCTGCTTCGATGTTGCTGAGGTCAGCACCACGTCTGGCCTTAGTGATGTTGTGGCCACATTTTCTGGGAATTTCAGTTGTTTCTCCAAGTCTGCCATCAGCTCCCAGTCCTGTGCCATTGTGAGCAAGCCAGAGGACGAGACCCTGGCAACAGCTGGTGGTCCTTCTCCAGCTCTGATGAAGGAGATAGTCTTCTTTGCTGGGCGGAGGCGCTTGCAGTGGGCTATTCCACTGCAGATGGTGTGCAATGATCCAGGATCGGATCTGCCTGACTATATATCTGGGCTGCATTATTCAAATTAGTCACGTTTAGCCTAGTTTTAAAGTCGTAGGAAAGCAGCTGTTTCAACTGTTGCATTTCCGAATCCTCCCAAGTGGTGCATGACTTTACACGTGCAAATAAAGGTAATGTGATTGGTTGCTTATCAAGAGGGTGGGGTTGCTGTGATGGAAGGTTTGCAAGAAAGCTTGATTCTGTGCAGTTTATCGGAAGCATCGTTGCTAACCAGTTAGCAGCTTAGTGCTAGTAGGTTCCCAAAGGGAAATTACATTGTGACCAATTAGCACTTAGCAACAACACTGTCAAGGAACGTTATGGACAGCCGATTTTTTTTTTTTTTAAATAGAAATTTTCCAAATTTTGGGACAATATAGTCTAATAAAGAATACATTTACATACATGTTTAAGCCAGAATAATTTGACATTTAAATATGAATTCCCTACTAATTTAAAGGTAATTTCATTGGCTAGAGAACCAAACATTGGGTGGGGATATAACCAATAGCAGACGGACTTTATGAGGAGTAATATGAGGGGAGTCATGCATAAAAGTATGCAGCTCAGCGGGCGGGGACAATTTTGTTTTGTAGACTGGAAGGTGAGGAAAACAAACATACCCAACACTGACAGGATATTTCTGTGTAACCTAGGATAATTAGCAAGACGGATAGCATTACCTATACGGGTCAAACTTTTCTGATGGTAAAAAAACAGAATATATGTGGCGATTTTCTCATTATGGAATGTTTTTATTAAGAATATACTGGATTACCTGTAATCTGTGGACAATTATGGATGAATGGAGTAAAAACAATTGAAGATTGGATTTATAATACAGCTTCTGGACGCCTTCAAAGCTATGTTGTCTCAGCCTCTTGGTTTTACCATGCTGCTATATCTGTGTTAATTGTGCTTTGGTGCTCGCTGTGCCAATAAAATGAACTTGGTGGTTGAATTGTGGAGAATCTAAGCTTTCTATGGATGTCTAACTTGTGTCAAGGCTCCAGTCTGTGTGTTTGTTTTTGTGTTGTCTCCCTTCCACCAACAGGAGGCGCCTGGTTCCGGTCCTCCTCCTCACGCAACTGCTGACGGTTACCTCGTTAACGGAGTGCTCTTAAGCTGCTGATTGCCACTACCTCGACGCCAGAGTGTTTGCCAGTTTTTCGTACTCTAGCCAAGCTGAGTTTTCTCTGAGTAAGACTGAGTTCTTGCCTACCTGAGTTTTAACTTTGTTTTTTTGTCTTTGCCTCTCAGCAGGAAGTCATCCTGCAAACTGGACCTTTTCGGACCTCCTCTCCCAGGAGGGATCAACTGAGCCTTAAACTGAGCCGGGGATTCAAACAGGAGGTTTGGATCTAGTCTCCTTGAGAGGACGTTGAGTTTACTCTCTGAGCAAGGGAATCATCTTCACTACGACACGTTCAAGTACAGCAGGAAATCTGAGTGGCAGTCAGCGTCTCCAGTCACCTACACCCTCCGAGTTCTGGGTAAACCCTGTTCCGCCCTCCACCGAATCAGACAAACTCTGGAAAACCAAAANAGGGGTGGAGCTTGGAGGTGGGACATGAGTGAAGCAGAGAGGGTGGGGGAGTGGCGTGAAACCTGTTTTTCTTCAAATTTTCAGTCGAAGTCTGCTCTCTTCTCAATGTAACAGACTGCAGCTTTAAGCCAGAATAATTTGACATTTAAATATGAATTCCCTACGAATTTAAAGGTAATTTCATTGGCTAGAGAGCCAAGCATTGGGTGGGGATATAACCAATAGCAGACGGACTTTATAAGGAGTAATATGAGGGGAGTCATGCTTAAAAGTATGCAGCTCAGCGGGCGGGGACAATTTTGTTTTGTAGACTGGAAGGTGAGGAAATGTCCCAACATTGACAGGATATTTCTGTGTAACCTAGGATAATTAGCAAGGCCGTTAGCATTTGCTATATGGATCAAACTTTTCTGATTGTAAAAAAACAGACTATGTGTGGCAATTTTCTCATTATCGAATGTTTTAGTTAAGAATATACTGGATTACTTGTAATCTGTGGACCCTTATGGACGAATGGAGTAAAAACAATTGAAGATTGGATTTATAATACAGCGTCTGGACGCCTTCAAAGGTATGTTGTCTCAGCCCCTTGGTTTTACCATGCTGCTATATCTGTCTTAATAGTGCTTTGGTGCTCGCTGTGTCAATAAAATGAACTATGTGGTTGAATTGTGGAGAATCTAAGCTTTCTATGGATGTCTAACTTGTGTCAAGGCTCCAGTCTGTTTGTTTGTTTTTTGTGTTGTCTCCCTTCCACCAACAGGAGGCGCCTGGTTCCGGTCCGCCTCCTCACGCACCTGCTGACGGTTACCTCGTTAACGGAGTGCTCTTAAGCTTCTGATTGCCACTTCCTCGACGCCAGAGTGTTTGCCAGTTTTTGGTACTCTAGCCAAGCTGAGTTTTAGCTGAGTAAGACTGAGGTCTTGCCT